GCACTTTATTTAGTCATTGCTTAATCATCTACTGATTAGATCTTTTACTTCATTTTTTGTTCTTTGTTTCTTGTTTTAGTATTAGTGTTTAGCAGATTTTGAGTTTGAACTATTTGAGAAATAAAATAAGTATGTACTTGTAAGTCACTGCAAGGAATTGTATGTAGTTGTAAGGCATAACAATAAAGCCTAGTCTGGCAAGGAATAAGATTTATGCAAAAGTAAAGTTTGGCTATAGGTTAGCCAAAAATAGGGATAAAAGTTTGGTTACAGATTATCCAAGAAATAAAAATCTCTAAGTTTTGGTTACAGGTTATTCAAAGTATAAAACCCCTAAATTAAGTTAGAATTTTAGTTATAGAGTTCTAGATATGGGTACACCAAGGAACCTAAACCCTTAAATAAAAATTAGTTTATTTTTTATATAGAAGTTTAGTATAGAATTTAAGTATATATAGAAAATAGAGTTTTAGATAGAATTTTTATAAAGTCACTGGTTGACTAGCTCAGAGGACCTTGTATCTTAATGAGGAGAGATATGTAATATAATTAAAAGATTGGCCATAGTAAATATTACACACTATGATGATTATATGACTATGATACATATAATAATCATATGACACTGATGGACTTTTTGACTAACAATTAGTATTATTTATTTTCTCCAGGAAATAAATAGGTAATCCCCAGGAGTGTGTCACTAGATGTTAATCTGACTACATGTCATCATGATTAATCTGTGATTAACTATTTATAATGATTATTTTAATGAACTTTTTTTTTGTTAAACTTTTTCTTTCGCTAAACCTTTTTTTCATTAAAACTCTTAATAAAAAAAATGTCAAAAACTGATGCACAATTTGTTTCAACAACTAAAGAAGTGATTTCTGAATTTCAACAAGCATCAATAAATATAAATACTGACAAATCTAAGAATATATGGATGTCTTTGTTTATAAAATTTTGTGAATTACGTAACTATTCAAATGAAATTGTTGAACTGGATAATAAAACATTATCAGATCAGTTGGGGCAGTTTATTGTTGAAGTAAGAAAATCGAACGGTCAGGAATATAAGGCAACATCACTCTATACTGGATTTTGTGCTATAGCATGAGGAATATCTGATATGTTTGAAGAAATACGAATTGTAAACTTGTTTGATAAATATCAATTTAAAAGTTTACATAGAACACTAGATGGTCGCATGAAATCACTTGCTAATGATGGTAATAAAAATCATAAACAATCTAGTCTACTAGAAATTGATGAAATTAAGTTTATACTAAATTCACCTGCTACGGCTGTTGATAATCCAAAGGGCCTTATGCGAAGAATTTAGATCTGGTTAACTTTATTATGTTGTTTAAGAGATGAAGACGCAAAAAGATCTTGGCTTAATGAACTAGATGATGGTGGTATGTTGCTTGAACTGCCTAAAGAAAAAAACCATGCAGGAGGAATTAAAGATCCATATGCAGAATCTGGAAGTAGTTTAATACCATCTGATATCTCAGAAAATATTTATACTCCAGTTGCTGATATTCGAAAATATTTATCTAAACGTCCAAACAATGTTGTTGATGATTATTTCTTCGTTTCAATAAATACTTCTAAGAAAGTATATCATGGTGATTGGTATTTAACATCAAAATTAGGAAAAGGATTGCATAATACTATGATGCATAATATTTGTAAAGATGCTAAGCTGGATTTTAAAGGCCGTTCTATTACTAATCATTCTATGCGATCTATGGGTATTCATAATCTTGTAGAATTGGGTATTACATTAGATGAACAAATGATCTTTTCTCGACATAAAACTATTGCAGGAGTTTCAGCTTATCAGCATCAATCATTAAAACGTAAACGAGATAATGTTTCTCTTTTAATTCCAATTGTAGAAGCAGATAAAATAATATTAGATATAGTAATATTATTTATTTATAAGTTATATTAATTTTTTATTTTTTTTTAGAACCCGATTCTCATAGCATTAAAGGATTCTACTTCTAATTATATTAATAAAGGATTTTCCAAAACATCTGATTTACTTTTCAGTAAATTTAATGAAATCGATTCTGAAGCCAATGTCAATAATGAACCCAAAACTAAAATTGATAATAAATCCAAAGCTAAAACTAATAATGAGATCGATTCTGGTGTAAGATATAAAAAAGTGAAGATTCCCAATATTACGATTGAAAATTGCAGTAATATAAACATTAATATTAGTTTAATGCTATAATTTAAAATACTATATAATTAATACTTAATTATATATGCAATTATAATATAACCAAAATTAAATAAATTCACGATTATAATTTCTGCTTTGCTTATAACAATTTAATTAATTGCACAGTTTATAACAATTTTGCTCAGCTTTACAATTTTAATAATCTCAAACCTTATAAAGATTTCTAATTGTGAAGAATTATAAAATTCCCGGTCATTTATAATGAGACCAGGAATCTTCTGTGGGAAGATTCCCAGTCACAATATGATCATTATAAATATAGTTTATCACGTGCGAAAAATTATGATGAAGGTAGTCATGAGTGACACTTAGTGCGACAGAGGATTATAAGAGTTATTTTATTTGTTCTATTTTTTTATATCTATATATTTATTTATTTATTCATGTTATTTAACTATGCATTAGTTGTCACGCATAGTATCATTATATATATGATTGAAATGTATAGTATCATTTAAATAGTAATTTATTTCAAACAGGTTTGTAATTAGAAAGGAATATAAATAGTTTTAGAGAAAATATACTAACAACTTAAATAGTTAAGTGTTAGTAAAACAATTTATTATAAAAATATCCTGTAGAAAACTTGTAAAAGGCATTATCCACTGCCTCAAGTCTAATTTTATTTAATAAAAAAACCTCTTCATCTTGAATTTCTCCTAACAAAGATCTAAAACCCACCCTATTCCTTAAACCATCTAGCAGGCAAATTTGCCTGCTTATTTTATTTTTCAAAAGTTTTTTTAAGATTTCTTAAAATTTAT